CGATTTGCTAAGAGCGGCTCCTTAGCTACAAAAATGTGCGCAAGAACTAAATTCCACACTAAACATAGCAACTAGATAAGAAAATAATGGATTAGATGCCAAAGTCCATACTTATGATACGGCTAGCTTAACTTGATCATGTAAATATCATTTGTCCGTTAGTGGAAAGCAATCATTAGACACATGTTTTATTACCTACTTTAAATGAGTGTAAACCTTTTCTTCCTAAAGTTTTTAAATAAATTCCTTTAGAAAGTAGTATTTGTTTGGTGCACCATTGTCACTTTTTCTTGGATACGACCACTCCTTCTTTTTGTTCTCCGATAATCAGAAGAGCTAAACGTTATTTTTACATGACTACAACTACTTCAGGCTCAAGCTTACTAATATTTATCGTTTGAATATCTTTTAAAATTATTTAAAAAAAAAAAAATTATCATATTCAACGAAAAGAAAACTTGTCGAAAAGCACAACAAACGCGTTAATCGTAAGATTTTTTGCTTCTCAAAGCTGAAATAAACTCATACACGTAATCAGCTCTGACAAGCACTTGATATGTTGACCTACCAGAAAAGAAAATAGTTAAAATAGAAAACCTCCTTTCCAATTCTTATGGACATTTGTCATTCAAAGCATGATTTATGTATATGGAAATAAGATGGAAATTTGAAGCGTACGCACTCATTATGAAGGAGTTTTTCAAAGGCACACAGTTGAGTTGAACTACTGCCCGTTATCAATGGATAATAAAGTCAATAAGCGGGAAACTTGGGGCAAGACGATCGACTTTGTTCTTGCCCTCGTAGGGTTCTCTGTTGGACTGGGAAACATTTGGCGCTTCCCGTACCTTTGCTATAAAAATGGTGGAGGTGAGTGTAGATGGCGTCAGGACGGTTGATGACGATTATTGTAAATTTACTTGTATTATGTAAATGCTGGTGCTTTTGATAATCTGGCGAAACTACATTCGTTTCCATTTGATTATTTTCGAATAAAGCGCGAAGGAGCAACTGCAGAATACCGTGCCACTTTGGTCCACTTCATATATATGCGTCGGGACACTTCCAAGATGGAGGCATAACACAATAAACGTTATTCTTTTTCAGTGACATTTAAATGAGTGGCAGGGTATTCTGCAGCTTAGCCAGCTTGAAAAACAGTTAGTAAATATATCTTTGGTCAACCTTGTTTTGGCATCCATTCACCACATTATACTGAGATGCCTCCGTCCATGCGTCACTCACGTCAAGGCCATACACGTGTCTCACAAGCCTACGGTTATAAACTTTACTTGATTAGATTTGAAAATTTTATCTAGTGGCCTCGTGATGTGCTTAACAGTGAATCTGAAAACTGTTTCTTTCTGTATTTCTGAGACCAACTGAGAAAGCGAGTAATCCCATCGGTCAAACTTGTTCTGAAGGGCTCCATTCACGTCGTGCCTCAACACTCGGCTGCAAACTTTATTTAATTACATTTGAGAACTTTAAGTAGTTGCCTTATGATGTACCTGACACTGAATTTGAAAAAAATTGTCTTGCTGAGAGCAACAAACATTTCTGTGACTAGAGTATAACTTTAGGCGCGATCGAACAATCGTTTAAGAACGTTTACAAAGACTGCAATAGAGCTAATACTTATGCAAAACAGTGACGTCTTTGAAACTTTAGCAATGGCTTGAGGGCTAGTGTTTTAGTACATTATTAATCACCCTCCCTCTATAAGCTTGAAAACTTTTCTTTTCGTTGTCAAGATCAGAAATCGAAAAGTTTTTTTTGCATACATGGAAAAATACAAATATGTAGATTTTAACTGAAACCACTCCTAGTCCACTCTACACTGCTTCCATTTTGAAATAGTCAAGATGTAATTGTTC